GATGCACTTAGACTTGAGCAATGGGCCAACGCAACACAATATTGAGAAAATGGAAAAAACTAAATGCGGCAATTAAAACGTCATGAATTCAACATTAGCAATCGAATAGAAATAAGACCCACTTACATATGTCTAGGTTTTTATTGCAGCTAACGCGTTGCCCGCCACTAAGAGAGTTTCATATTTATGAATGACTGCCAATTATTACACAATCTCAAGCACCACAAAGTCAAGTGGCTTTAACACAATCAATTTTTGCTTATAATTGCAAATTGCTATGGAAACTGTTTAGCCAATGGAAATAAATCTCTATTAATTACTTTATTATTGAATTTATAATATAAGATATGCAACTGAATTTAAAAGGTATACAGATAGTTAGATATAGATCCGGAAGCGGAGGAACTCAGCTACAGTATTTGTTTGTCATCTTGACTATCTAGCTAAATCCGTTTTTGTTTTTGTCAGTCACGCTGTCTGCCAGTTAGTTGAAGGCTTGGTGTTATACCGAAGTTTGCATTAGCTCTCTGTAGGATTGTAGAAGATTTAAGGGAAGCCTTAAGCTAACTTCATTTATTTTATTTTATTTAATTATTGGAGCTCGAGTTAAACTTAGTTAAACTAAAAAATATAATTTTGTGGTTAAAAAAAGTACAGAATATTATTACTTATTTAAATTATGATATATGTACTTTTAGTGAATTATCTTAAAAATATACAGTGTGTAACATTAATGTTCAAACGCCCATAAAACATTAAGGGAAGCCTTTAGCTAACTTGCTTAAACATATTTTATAAACACTTAATTATGTATTATTATTGTTTATTATTATTTTTATTTATTTATTTAATTTTATATATTAAAATATCTACTTTTTATCTAATATCTTATCTTATATCTTATATATGTAAATATATTTTAAAATTATAAATAGCCATAAGCTGATTGTCGATCATTTCGGCATTTTTGAATGTTTCCATATATACAATGTGCCCAACTAATATGCCCGTATTTACATATACAATGAGAGCAGACAAAGTCACATATTTGTCGGTTAAGCTCATTCTTGATTGTTGCATCTTAATCAGGGAAAATTATGCGCGTTTCAACACTTTGTATAGAGACGTGCATTCGAGAGGCGCGAGCAATTTACATACAAATCCGAAAGACAATGCTGAGCGATGTGGTAAGCACAATCTTAATCCGCAGTAAGCGCAAAAACGGAGTCCACATGTTAAGCCCAACAAAAGGTCCTCTATGCACTTGGCGCGCCCCTGGGCCTGGGCCTGGGTCTGGGCGATGAGCTGTGTTGGGTCTTACATGAATGCCAGCCAGTCAGCCAGTCAGCCAGTCAGCCAGTCAGAGATGACATAACCGAGAGGCGGCGGCGGGCATCGTGCGATGCAAATGCACAGCATCATGCAACATCCAGCAATGCCACAACAATGGGACAACAACAATGCAACCGGCAATTAACGTAACTCTGGTAAAAATTATTAACAAATGTCAACTGTGGACGCGCTTTTAATATGCGCAGATTAATAGCTTCCATTTTAGGGCATATAACAGCATTTACTTTATTTTTGTTTAATATTTTATTTTTGTATGTTTTTAACAATGTTCAAAACTGAGTGTGCTGCATCGTTAGCAGACAGATATTGTTAACGGATTGTATGTGCCCCTAATTCGCTGTAGCTTTAGCCCGACTGCAGCACATAGAGCTGACGAAAAAGGTCGCCCGATTTTTGGGCATGCACTCAAAGAGGACAGCAGTGGCGACCCAAGTCCAAATATGGTCACCCAGCTGCCAGCAAAATTGGGGCTGAGCTGGACCAGAGTTCAGTGCGATGCAAATGCGTTGGATCGTTAGATAAGCTGCAGCTACAATTTGGCATATACAAATGTATTGTATGTATGTGCATATATACATATATGTATGTTTCTCTGCATATTTAAGATAGGTATGCGAGCTAAAAATTAATTGGCTCTTGCGGGCAGGTGTAAAACTTGACGCTGCGTGAATATGCAAAAAATATTGTCGTTTTGTTTGGCTCTTGGCTAGAAGGACGTTGCCTATTTTTGTTTGTTTTTCTTGTCTCTTTTTTTTTTTTTATTATTATTATTATGTGTGCGTGAACGCCTTTCACAAATGCTGTCGCCCCAGTGGCGAGCAACAATTAATTGACTTACGCAGCAGCAGGCTGCATGCAATCAACTCGCAGCAGCTCGATTTTCGAGAGGCGTGTCCAATTGGAATTCAGCTAGGCAATCACTGCGTGGGCGCCAATTGGGAGCCTATTGGTGCGTTCTAATTGCCTTGGCTTGACGGCTCATAAGCCAAACGGTCCAAGTAACCAGCTTACTGGCCATTTAATTACCAGCATTGCACGCTTTTCGCATTTAACGGCTTATGATTTCAAAATGCTGCCTTGAACCATTTTGCTTCGTGTACCTATTCAAATGCTTTTATGTACATTTTTTATTTATTTTTGCAACTCGAGATTGTCTCTGAAGAGCTGTTGAGCCAGAAAAGGCGGAGTCTCACACAATGGCTAAATGTTAACTGAAATATATGCGAATGTAGGCTGGGCAAGTTAAATGTTTACCAGCAAGCAAATCAACCGAAGAATGTGAAGAAATTAAATATTCCAAACTGATTAAACATATGATGATACAGAGATGCCTTGAACATAAGTGTTTGTTTTCTTTTTGTTTTATTTATATGATTTTTAACAGAGACAAACCGTTTACCATACATAGCTGTCAGTCACTTATCTTACATCTAGCTGTTCTCATTCATATTCATTCGTTCTCATTCATTGTTGGGTCCATCTAGCCACTCTGAGTGTCCCTCACCAGTAAAATGACACTCAAACAGGGGGAGAGAGAAAGAGAGAAAGAGAGGGAGAGAGAGAGAGAGAGAGAGAAAGAGAGAGAGAGAGAGAGAGAGAGAGAAAGAGAGAGAGTTTAGCATAATGTGTTCTCTATCAAACATCTGAGTAGAACATAAATAACAGTTCTCACTCGATATATGACTATATAGATAAATTTACAGTTATAATATATAAGCATTTAGATTAAGGATTTATGGGACTGAGCTTTTGTCACATCTTGATGTTTTGCACTATTTATGCTAAATTTATAATTCTCCCCAGGGCATCGCATAAATAATTAGTCAATTTTCGAAATTATTTAACAATTGCACTTAACATTGCAGAGCTCGTCATATATGATAGTCTGCATTGCTGAGGGCAGTGCACTTGCCACCAAGTTGCTCAGATTACGCGGCGGCATCAATGGGCGGCGCTGAAATGGGATACACTTGTTTCTTGTGTTTGGCCAGTTGGCAAGAAAGAAAGCTTCAGTACAAGCCAACAAATTGAATGCGAAGTGGAAAGTGAAAGGACTTAAGTGCGTTTCATTGCGCTTACACAATACCGAAGAGCGAAACAGTGCGATATGCCCTAAGCAGCTCTTTTCATCAAAATATGAAAAAAAAAAGACTAAAGGCAATAGATCATAAATGAAACTTGACCAGATGCCAGGCCACAGTACAGGGCACTTTCACTGCTGCTGCTGCTGGCATTTACAATCGAAACTTATAAAAGACCATTAACAATTGACCGAAAATATGTTTAAGTGTTTGGCTCTGTGGAGTTGACAATGGGCTAACAAGCCAATAACATCAACGCGTGCCACAACTCAACAAAAGCAAGGTTGCCTGTTGCTGTCAAGCAGCCTGACGCCGCCGAATGTGGCACACAACAATTGACAGACAAAGACAATTAAACTCAAATTCGTTACACTGACAGCAATTCGATAGCTGTTGTTGTTATTGTTGTATCTGTTGAATAGGCCACGCTATAGGCCTACAGCTTTAATCGACATATTCCTAGCCAACGTTACTTTCTCTGCTTAAAGACTTAAGTCAATCCAATGCACGTCTGCTAGTTGCTAATAAATATGCCTTATTCTTGTCTCTATTTGCAGAATACTTATGCTGAGCCTGTTCAGTGCTGCCCAGTCGCAATATCATCAATTTGGCGCACAGCTGCAGTCGCCGCATGGCTCGGAGTGCGCCCTGCTGCTGGCCGGACCCGGTCGCTCCTCTGTCTACGACTACAATGTAAATTTGTTTCGCGGCACGCTGTAAGTACAAATAGAAAATGTTCAAGTGGCATTCTGGGTTACGTTTGCGGGCAAATATTTGAACGTTGACACCAAAAACGACAAAAAGCTTAGCTGTCAGTCATAAATCTTGACAGCGGCTACAGCAGGGGCAACATGCACGGCCTGTCGATACTCTACACCTACGACAACAACAACGACAACGATGGCGACAGTTGGCTTTGAGCTAATCATTAACAGCTGCAGTAGCAGCAGCGACAACAACGTGGCGGCATGTTGCAACTGTTTGTCTTGCCAAATGGGCAACAGGGGCAACTGTTGCACGCCTGGGAGCGAGTCTTCAGCTCGTGTCTAGGCCTGACGTACTTGCACCCGAGTGGAGCTAGCAACGCAGCGGGCAACCGCCGCATAGTCAACTGCAGTGTCAGTTGCCAAAGGCTCGCTGAGTGATTGGATCTGCTGCGGGGCAGGACTGGCTTGGGCAACTGACTGTGGCAACAGCTCCATTAGCAGTAGACGCTAAAATTTATACTTGAGGGAATACTGCAATATATAAATTACTTTTTAGTCTATCATCAGACCTAAAAGAAGATTGAAATCTTGTGACTCTACTGTGACAGCTCTTCGGATTGTCAATAGTTTTTTCTTTGTGGAAGTAAACTTAGGTTTACAAAGTCTTTGGCTTATACAAAAATAAAGAAAAATTGATGAGCCTATACTAAGGGACAGCTGAAGAAGGAGCGAATGAGCAGGATTAGAAAGACTCTGCAGTAGATTCTATAAATTATATTCATTATATTGGAGTATAGGTCTTGCCTTCTCACTTTCAATTTTAATGGTTTAAATATTATTTAAAAAATAATAAGCGAATTTGCTTTTGTGACGTGCCTGTATTTATTTAACAGAAATAGATAAATTTGCATATTACATGAAAAAAGAACAAATTTGTTGTAAATCCGTCGCAAAGAGTTTCAATAGTTCAAAGGATTCTTAGGGGGACTTCAAGAGCTTCAGGCAATCCCTGGTATTCCTCCTGCATTTTTCATTAGAAACACGAACCCAATCTAAATAAAAGTGCAGAAATCAGTTAGTAAATGTGAGGGATTATTAAATTTCAATTTCATTGCTTACTTTCATTTCTGACGCAGCGCTGTTTGGCCAGCTCGCATCTGTTGGCAAAGGTGCACCTGCTGATTACCCGACCGCGTTTCAAGGTGGCACAGACGGGATCATAGATCCTGCTGCATGCGGTTTGGCACACTGGCCTTGGTCTACTGGCACTGGTAAGCGCACAGATGCTGACGACGATAAGCAACAGGAGAGTCACCGATTTCATGTTGAATGTAGTAGCTTGAAGACTGAAGGTACTTCTATAATTTCCCTAGATTCGGCAGTGGTTTATATACAGCTCAAGAGCTCTGGAGGGCTGGATAAAACAATGTTGCATATTCCATTCATTGACAAGAATGAAACACATGCCATTTCGGCATTTGTCTACGTTAAATACAAGATTCATTTAATGCTCTTGTTGACAATACACCAATTTTACAATATTGTATATTGTCAGAATTAAATGCTACACTTGTGGGCTTCTGCTGTGCCGTTAAGTTATTGACCTCGACTTCGGCTGTATGTGAAGACAGAGTCATGTGATGCGAGCGCGTCTGCTTGACGGCGCTTGACAGGCCGCCACAGATTTATTGGTAAAAACCGCACGACAGCTGCAGCGAGCTGAGCAACAACAGAGACGAACACTGTGAGCAACAACAGCTATACAAATAAATGGCGTTGCAACACTTCTGCCGCCAAAAGCACCTGTTTCGCGGCACGGCAGCAGCAGCAACGGCAGCAGCAGCAACAGCAGCGGCAGCAGCTGCTGTTATTCTTCTATTGATGGCAAACGATTTCGAAATGTGACTTTGAAAAAAAAGTGCCAAGAGACAATGCCTGAACTCTGACCATGCGCCACAAAAATTGCGGCTCTGCCACAGACAGTTACCGTTTTAAATGTCGCACGATCGGGCCATGGCGAATTTATATAGGGGTCAGCAGCGAGTTGAGCTAATTTGAGGTTGCCTGGCGCAAAACGTGACTTGGCCACTATTCGGCTTCGCTTTGGCTATTGAGCCTTGCTGCGGCCGGCAAATATTCAGTCCACAATTGCAGCCACAACAACCTACTTAAATGATAAATACAGGTTTCACGACCCGGGACACTTTCATTGCTGTTGCTGCTGCAACTGCTGCTGCGGCTATAAAGTTTCCTCCTACATTTCGCCGTCGCACGTCTGTCTGCGTAAGCGTGGTAGTGCCGGCGATCGTCTGAGCTCTCTGCGTTGCCACAAGGCCCCAAAAATCTTACGCGTGCACAGATAACTGATATTCGGATGGTGTGCATATCGTTTTACGACACGCTTTTGCAATTACTCACGACTCACAACGCACAACTCACAACTCACAACTCGCAATATTACGCATACGCTACGCCAGCCAACTACAGTTTCACTTTCAGCAGGAAGCATTCAGTTGCGCACCTGCAGACGCGAATTCATTTCACAGTGCAACAAGAGGCACATTCATTGTGCCACAGCCACCCAATCAGGATAGCAAGTCCCAGTCCCAGTCCCAGTCCCAGTCCCAGTCCCAGCCCCATGCAACGTCGACTGCAGTGCGTGCCGCATGCAAGCAACTTTCTAGCTGGCCCAAAACTTTACCTCGGACTGCCCGCTGGCTGAGTGCAATGCGCACATTGAACTTTCCATCAGCAATAAATTTTTAAGTTAACTGGCGGACCAGTTAAGTGCCAGCCGCTATTTCGCATTTGACAAATTTTTCACGCAAAAAAATGCAACGAAAAAAAGAAGAAGAAAACTATTCAAAATCTATGCAGTCTTTAGTGAGCACCCCAACTAAGCGAGATATATTGAAAGTTTGGCTTATAATAAATGCGTTAACAAGCGCGTGTATTATGTAAATGAATGTTAATTTATCGTATTGTTAGTGGGGAGAATTAATGCGTTTAAAATTTTTGAAAAATCTTACCTTCTATGGTTGTTAGATATGTTAGATATGTCTAACACATTTGCGACTATATATAGATTTATACTTTATGATAAGCCATTAAGTAGATATTTATCTTATCTTTCACAGTCTACATATATAGAAATATGAATTAATATATGTGTATACCTATATAGACAATTGAATGCCATTAATTGTAATTATCAAAGGGATTATATGTATTATGAACTAAAAGGGATTTTTTATAATCTTTTGACTTGGCTTGATTTTGATGTTGTAGTCATTAAACAGATGAAGTTGCTTGCGTAATAATCTTTATTGTTTAGAATTCATACGATTATTTGTGGAGCTATTTTAAATTGTTCCGCAATCTCGACAATGTCTGAAATTAAGGCACTATTTTCAAGCGAATAATCAGGTCTTACACATAGTTTTCTTTAGCATGTGATTAATGTCTTTCATGGGAATAGCAGGGCTTACATATTATTGAGATGTCCAACGACGATTAACTTGATAACAGACAGAAATGGTTGTTACTTTTGGCTGTCTGACTAAAATTATTATTCATTGTATAAATATCAGGATATATTTATATTGCTGTGCGGTTTCAACTGTAGCGCATCTGTTCTTATCACATGACTCTGTCTTTACATACAGCCGAATTCGAGGTCAATAACTTGACGGCACAGCAGAAGTCCACAAGTGTAGCATTTAATTCTGACAATATACAATATTGTAAAATTGGTGTATTGTCAAGAAGAGCCTTAAATAAATCTTGTATTTAATGTAGACAAATGCCGAAATGGCATGTGTTTCATTCTTGTCAATGAATAGAATATGCAACATTGTTTTATCCAGCCTTCTAGAGCTCTTGAGCTGTATATAAACCGCAGCCGAATCTAGGGAAATTATAGAAATACCTTCAGTCTTCAAGCTTCTACATTCAACATGAAATCGGTGACTCTCCTGTTGCTTATCGTCGCCAGCATTTGTGTGCTCTCCGGTGCCAATAGACCGAGGTCAAACTGCCCAACGATATGCACCCAGGACTATAAGCCCGTGTGTGCCATTTTGCGACGCGGTCGAGTAATCAGCGCGTGCACCTTTTCCAATAGATGCGCGTTGAACAGACAGCAATGCGTCAGAAAACAAAGTAAGCCAAAAGATTGATAAACAAAAATCCTTCACATTTACTAACTGCTTAATGTACATTCGTTCACTCAGATTGGATTCTCATTAACACGGGAAAATGCCCTAGCGATAGTAGGGATTGCCCGACGTTCTTGAGGCCCCTCTAAACATCTTTTGCAATGGAATTGATTGTATATATACATGTATTATGTAAATGTATATCAGTATACTATGACTATTAAAAGCAACTGTATGCAGTCTATTCAGGTATTATTGTGTTGAAAGACTGTTGTTCTACTATAAATATAGAATGCAAATTCAGTCATACGGTAGACAAGCATGAAAAGAGAAGCTCTGTGAGACTGTGTCGCTTCCCATGTTATACATATGCCACATATCTTGGTTAAATATCATTAGACTGCTCAGCTGCAAATGCTGCACTCTAGATATGGCTGCAAGTTCGAGAAGAATGTCGTCTATAGCTTAAATGGATTTTGCATTGCGTGTCTGGGCAATGTCTTGGGTGCTGCGGCGTGTGTTGCTGTTGTTGTTGTTTTTGTAATTATTTAATACTTACGCATTGTTAACATGTATCGTTGTCACCTGACACGCGTTTTACATGTCGCTCCATTTGAGGAAGTCGCTGTGCCCCTCTTTTTTCGAGGGGGCCTTTTGCGAGTAAGTCGCGAGACGAGAAATTTGCGTGTTTTGGCATTTAATTAACAAACCGGCTACAAACGCAATGCAATGTTAAATGTTAAGTTAAGTTGTTACTGTTACTGTTACTGTTACAGTTAGAGTTTAGCTTATTTATTTATGCCCCGAGATGCGGTATCTGCTGTGGCTGCATTTTATTTCCTGTTCGGAGCAACCCACTCCGCATTCGAACTCGAATTCGAATTCGAATTCGGTTTGCGTTAGTCATATTCGGCGCCAATGGTTAGGCTAATGGCACCGGGCTGCACAAATGTCTGATGATACCATCGGTTGGTATCGAGAACGACTGCAAAACAATTGTCCGGCAATCACATGGGCAGCTCTATAATTGCAAGTAATACTCACTTATATCTCCCTGCTGCACGACCACATCGAAGCGCTTGCATTGAAAGTAACACTCGGGCGGGGGCACCAGCAGCCAGCGCTTGCTGCCCGCCAGCTGTGCCTGCCACGACGGCAAGCGCACATTGTCAATCTGGCAGGAGTGGAGGAATTAAAAGAGAGAATCAAGAGAGCGAGAGAGAGAGAGAGAGAGAGAGAGAGAAAGAGAGAGAGAGAGAGAAAGAGAGAGAGGAAAGAGAGAGAGGGAAAGAGAGAGAGAGAGAAAGAGAGAGAGAGAGAAAGAGAGAGAGGGAGTTCCCTCACTCACATGCATTTGGGCTCCCAGTCCGGCGGTGCCAATGAAAAACCAATCGACTGCATTATTCTCCGAGCGCTCGGGCAGGAAATATGGCCTGCCATAGTGTCGACGAAACTCCTCGGCCGTCTCCGCATGGCAGTTGCTCCAGCCGAAGTACCACGGCGACTCGTTCGGCTCTAGGTTGACGCGTGCCTCCGTCATGTCTAAGGCCTCGTAGATGTCCCGAAAGCCCGTCTTGTAGGGCAGAAACTGGCAGTCGCGTATGCGCTCCTTCCGCTTAGCCTTGCGATAGACATCCCGAAAGTACCAGTAGTCAAAGAGCTAAATGCATTGCACATAAGCCAAGTGAAGACTCCTCTCATTTCGTTAGCCCACTCACCGTTGTAGCTGTCCAGTTCTGCATGGCATCGGTGACTATGACCGGTGCTCCACTGTATGCGTACTCCGCCTCGAATTGGGCGGGCGTCAGATTGCTAAGGCGTGGCACGCTTTGAATATTCGCACAAAAGTCACAGCGTTCGGGCGGACGCAGCGCATAGCGCAGTGGGCGTGGCAGTGCCAGAGCACAGCGCTGTAAATCCATTAGAAAAGCAGTAAATTAAAATAAAATACAAATAAATGTTTAAAAATATATTCCCAACACTTCTGCCATATGCCATCACCTGTCCCTGCAACTCCGTTCGGTAGTAACTCAAGAAATATATGGCCAACACACATAATAACAGGATTTTGGTCAGCCTGAGCAGCTTTTGGCTGCACCCAGAGGCTGCACAGTGCTGCTGCAACAGCTGCTGCATGGTGGCACTTGGATCGCCGCTGCGATGAGTCCACAAAATGCGTCTCAACTGGCTGCGTGCTTGCTCCATGTTGCCTCGGCCGAGTCGCGTAGTCGACTGTGGCCAACATTTCCGTTTCCTGCTCGCCTAGCGACATCTGGCCTGCTGCTCGAGTCGCTCGCCTGTCAATAACTCGATTATCAGACCGAGTGCAGACGGTGCGGGCGTGTGCGTATGTGGTGCTGCTGCTGGTGGTGGTTGAGTGTTTTGTGTGCGTGGTTAGCATGTGATAACGACAAATTGTCTGATATTGTCAATAGCATTCAATAATCGAATTGTGTGTGGCATTCGTTGCCTTTGTCATTGCAGAAATCCCTACAATACTGGCACGGGCACTTGCATTACCTACGACGCCATCAATGCGGCCTACGTAGATGCACGCAAGCGTATACGTAAGTAGAGCAAGAGCATTGCACACATACATAGACATTTATATACATGTATATATATTTCTGATACGCGTTTCAGGTGTGGCCGAGCCCAAGTCCGACTGGAAGCCCGAGGAGCTGGCCACCGTGGGCGAGCTACTGCTCGACATATCCATACAGCTGGCTCGCACGTAAGTAAATGCTACGGTAATAAATGCTAAACGCATTTGAAAGTTGCGCCTGGCACGCCCACAGCCCCAATAAACGATTGCCAAATAACGCATAACATGGCACTTAAGTCGTGCTCGTGCTGCTGATGCTGATGCTGTGGCTGCTGCTGTGGCTGAGCTCCGTCCAGACCGCCTGTAGTCATAAATATGTATGAGCTTAAAGCTGGAACCGAACTAAACTGAACTGAACTGAATTAGTGCTGTGCCTGCTCTCAAGGTTCTGCAGCCTCAGATGAATTTGAGATTTGAAAGTTTGGCACATGCAAATGCTAATTGCAATGCCAAATTTGCTGTCGCCGTCGCTGTCGGTGGCTTTGACTGATGGCCACTTGGCCACCTGTAGCTCTGCTGTCGATGGGGCAACTGCAAACAGTCAGTCGTCTTCAAACTGGCGCAACTGCATTTTTTTTAACCTGCTTCCAAAAATATGTTTTTTGTTTTTGTTTGGCTGCTAGTTATTTGTTGTGCTCGCTGCGCAAAATGTAAACAAACGCGAATTATGCAATGCGTCGTCTGTTCGGGATGGCAGTCGCAGTGAGAGTGCGCGAGTGGCTGCCCCCCACCCACCCCCCGGCAAGTAAACGAGCAGAAGCCAGCTGAGGATGCAACAAAGTATTACCAGTTTTGCAGTCTTGCAGTTGGCCAACTGTCGCTTGTGGGTAATCGTGCTGCCGAGTCAGTTGGTCAGAGCAGCCGTTTCGCAGTTGCAGCTTGACTTTCTTTTTTGGCCAGCCCCCACCCCCTGCACTCCTGCTCATCTAATATGAATGCAAAGCTTGGCTTCGAGGATCATCAGTCGTAGCGGCTGCAGCTACAGCTGCAGTTGTAGTTGTATAATCCTATGATTATACAGTCTCAGCTTCACATATATGTGAAGTAATTTTTATTCAAGTCGATGATATAAGCTAAAGGATTAGAATGGCAATTTTATGCTAACAGAGATATTATTAATAATACTGTCTTGAATAAATTTATTTAATATTATGCTATATTGTTTAGACTCTCAGAGGTGTGCTCAAATTTTCAGCTCCAGCTGCGAGCTTTAAGCAATGCACCGCTAACTTCAAAGACTTAAGTTGCGGCTATAATACATACTTTTTAATTATCAATAACTATTTGGGGTTTTACAAAAAAAAAAAAAAAAAAAAAAAAAAAAAAAATTCAAATTTTTAAACAATAAATAACAGTGAAAAAATTACCATAGCATTAACCGTCTGCAGGCACTGAATGCTATTATCTATCCCACCCAATTCGAGATCAGTTATTTGGTAATGCCTTTTCGAAAGGTTTTAACGCTCTGCTGAAAGGTTTCCTTTTAATAGCCTCAAGTTTTTCTGGCCATTTCCTCAGTTGCTCTAATTTATGGACCTTCAGTCTGTTTAACTGCCAGCCCAATTGACTGTAAAATGCTGTAGCTTTTTTTTTGTCTTTTGTTTTCTTTTTGACTTCACATCTGCCAGAGGCAGCAACAATAGCTTTGGCCTACCTTTGGCGCCCTTCCTAGTGCCGTTTTTCTCACTTTCCCATGCACTTGAGGAAGTGGCGGATGGTAATTTATATTGCAGCCGCCGGTTCAGAGCTTTCCAGCACTCTGGCCTGCATTAGATACAAGATAAGACGCGTTTAATTCACGGACCACAGGCCTCGCAGTCCGATTCCATAAAACGGCAACTGGCTTCAAATTTTAATTTTTTTTTTTGCCATTGATGGCGACGTCAAATCTCAAATATCAGCATCAGTGTCTGTCTCGGTAAGCCGAGCCAAAAGCGCGTTAATTGCCTGCCGCTTGCCAGCCGGGCTAATTCGATCGTTTTGCAATTCTCTGACAAGATTGAAAAATAACAGATCAAAGGAGAACCAAACGGGCTAAGCAGCTGGCGCGACAGGAAAACGCCAAGTTGGGCGACATCCGCAGCCAATACAGTTATAGTTGGCAATAATTTGTCAGCATTTAGCCATAGTTGGTCAGGCAACTGATTTAGCGTTTTCTCTTGCAGCTATGGCCTGTCCTATGAGGAAATCGAGAAGGGTCTGCCCACCATAGACACGTCGAAGACACTAATTCGTGAGGTCTGTCCGCCGTTCTTTGCGGGCGTCGAGTGCCGGCCGGGCAAATACCGTCGCTTCGACGGACTGTGCAATAACATTGAGCATCCCACCTGGGGCGCGGCGAATGCGCCGTTTCAGCGTCTGATCGGTCCACTCTATGCGGACGGCATCAATGCGCCGCGCATTTCGGTAACCGGTCGCGATTTGCCCTACTCACGTGTGGTCTCGCGCACAATGCACCCAGACGATGGGTATCATGATCACGCAGGCACCGTTATGGTCATTGCCTGGGGCCAGTTCATGGATCACGACTTTACGCTGACTGGCACGCCTCTGGGTAGGTCGCTCGACCTGTGCGCATTGAATTGTTGAATAGAATCCGATTCGCTCCCATTACAGATCCCATAAATCGCAACGATCCG